CGCCTAAAAGCTAAAATGTACTGTATTAGCATTAAGTTACACCGTCTGCTTTTAATACAAATATACTGAACTGATGTTTATAACCAAAAGATGTGACATCACAAGACTTAAAAGTAAATTGACACGCTGAGCACATTATAGAAACATATCTTTCAATGGAAAACAAATACAGTTGTTTTAAACAACAAATATAAAACACCCATTGCCTCGGTTTGCACAGTTGCAACGAAAAGAAAACAAGTGCCAAAAGACAAAAAGTCAACGCTCTAAATAAATCGCTAGTCAAGCATTACCAAACTTTGTCTAATTTCACTACAAGACATGATAATATTTAGAGATTGAACACAGAATTTAATCGATAGCTCATTACAAGCATGAAAAGAATGGATTTTAAATCATTCATACCTTCTTTTTGGCGGCCGCCATTTTGAGATTATACGCTTTCCCAGTTTTCTTTGCATGCCTATTCAAAATTGCTTCAAAAGCGAAATCCCCGCCAAAGCCCCGCTAACGGTCCCCGGTCGCTGTTATTTGTGTCTAATGTTGTCGAACACTCCGCACACTGGGGTAAGGATGACCACTAAAACCGCTAAAATCCCTCGAGAATGCCCCGCATTCCCCGGGTATGGGGGTGCGGGGCTTTCCACTGACTAGTGCATAAAGGCTGGTTGAAATTGTATAATTCGTAGAACAACTCAAAATCTGGCTTAAATCATTACACCGAACGAACTACTGAGGAGAATTTGAAATGAAACGAGTGAAAGTATCACAGTATTTATTTGTTGTGTAAAACAACTGTTGCACGTGTTATTAGTTGGGCCATTTGTAATGGCAACATATTTAATTTGATCTAATTTTCATGTTCTTTAACAAATAGAGAAGCCTTGATTCTGTTCTATTGTAAAGCACGCAGAAAGCGGCTAGAGCACGAAAGAAGTGTAGGGAGAAACACGAAGCGTAGTCGAGTGTTTAACAAAGCCGTCTGCATAATCGCATATTTAAACAAAGCCGTCTTTTGTGTTTTCTCTGGTTACTGTGTGAATAATTTCAACCTTGCAAATAAAATGTATCCAGTAAAACTCTATAATACATACGCTTTGAATGAACCCGAAAACATGTCAAAAGTCATCAAAATTGTTACGGAATGGAAGTTCAAAGGTACGCAGTACCTAGGCAGCACGAACAACAGCTGATGAAACAGGCCCGTTGTTTGTGGGTCAAAATCGACCGAGTGCGCATAACGAGGAGGATTTAATTAAATCACAATTAATAAATCATAACTGTTTATTTACGATTCAAATTCAAATGAAAGGTGGAAGGAGAAAAAAGAGTTTAGTTCTGAATAAAATTCACACTAAAACAAGTACTAGATCAGACCTAAACTTTTTGCCGAACGATTTCAATCGCCCAAGTATAGGCTCTTGACCACAATTGAGATTTTGATGACTCAGTCGCAAATAAGATAAGATAAAAATAAAGTGAAATCTAAGATGTAAGTAGTTCTTCGGGTTAGTGTCCCATTCTGTTTAGGGAAAAGATGCAATGTTGAGTAAACCCTGGAACGATTCATGAATAAATCGTCCAGATGAGAGCCAATTACTGAGATTGCAAAGATTATAAGTGATTTCAAAATGGATGTTATGATATCGAAAACTAGATAGAGTACAAAATTTTGGATTGGGTCGTGCTTCAGATTGCTTGACGCCTAATATCAGGATCGCTACGAATCCTTCAAGATGTAACATCGGCCTACTCGTCCACGAAACATTTCACCTGACTCAAAATACACGCACACACACACACACACACACACACGCACACACACGTACTCAAACGGACACGCAGGAGCTTAATGCGAAGAGGAAGCAGTCAACAAAAGTCAGTCTTATACGACTTTATTTTTAAACTGTCGTAAGTCAATTGTATACTCAATACATCAATTAGACTGTGCATAACACCACGTTCTTTCAATTACAGAACGAATTTACAACAGCGGTAGTTGTAGCGAACTTTCGCATCATTGTATTTTGCCCATCTTATCAGGTGAAAACGAGCCAAGAAATAGCCAGATGGGCACTTAACATTTTGCCTGTCAAGGTACATGATGGGAGCGTTGGACTTGTAATCCCAGTTAGTGTGTCTTTCGTGACATCGGACTTTAGAGCGGTCCACTCTGTTTTCCAGCCTGGTCAGACTTGAATCCAGCGAGGAAAGCCTTCCTAGTATGTGCTACCGTGACGTAATCATTGATAAAAGCAGAAATCGAATCGCCAATCAGTTCATTGGACGTTTCAGGTTGCAACGCAATACCTGTATTCAGTTACGTTCTACTCTTACCTTGTATATATATCCCAGAGTTTTGTGCAGGGTCCTGGCTTACTAATCCACTGTGCACCATTTCTGGTTCGTCCTTCAACTTTTCCAGATGCTTGCCAATGTCCTGAATATGTAACATGACAATTTTTGTTCAATAATGCATTACTTCGATTGACGCACCCTAAATGAATACGTACAGCAATTCTCATAATCCGCCGCTTAGCCAACTGAGAAGTTCCATAAATAAATAATCAAAGTCCAATTCCTGCTTTACAAAAGCCCAACACTTAACTCACGTGCACTCCTTTATCATGAATCAATAATTGTTCACTTAATCATAGTTGTGACTCCTTTCCTTCTTTAGTGGGCAGAAGCCCAGTTTGTCCATTACTCTTTTCAAGTGGATTCGTAGTTAAGATTAGCAAAGGGATTGAAACATTAAGTTCAATTTCATTCGCATTCAGACCCTCATAAAGTTCTTTAATCATTGGTCAAACCATTCTGGACTTCATAAGGGCTCGCACCCTTGTTTTAGTATATGTGGTGGTGCCTAGTTTTTGCAAGCAGCTCTCTTTCGACATCGATAGAAAATTTCCTTTTTTGTGTTTTTTGTTTTGCTATTCTTTTCGTAGTACCTTCAAGAAATGACTTGTTATCTTTTCAGAGATTTTTATGTTTTTCCAGCCTCAGGCAAAGTAAAATACTGGCTCTTTTACAGAGCTCGCAGCAGGCGAAAGTCATTTATGAATAAAGCAATAAACGGCAATTTTTTCGCGAGCACGTCAACACTACAAAAAATCGACAATGTTGAGTACGAGATCTAACTTACTAACTGAGAAATAACTAAACAAAACGAAATCAACGTTAAAAATTTTTGAAATATTAAATCGTAGAAAATATTCACTTTCCATTGTCGTCCATCTTCGACACCTCATTCACAAACAGCAAAGATAAGTGGATAATTTTTGTTGCAGAGAGTCCATGGAATATTTCAAAGTTATTTGAAGATTTTTAGTATTACTGCAATGTCTGGTATCACTTATATTATACCTTGGTGACCTTCGTGTGAGCATCCTGTGTCTTCTGTATCAGTCGTCCTTGCCTGATGATTGCCGGCTCAGTGTTGACTTTCAACTAAAATTATTATTGAAAAGGCTTTATTAATCGCTAAAAATTCATATTATAATGAAATAACTGAATTTTTCGGGTTTTCAAATATAGGGCGGTTTCGTAAGAGTGCTCCTTTAAGAGTAGAAACGCGAAGCTTTTAGTCTAAAATTCATACCACGATTGCCTTTGTATCTCGCAAGGGTGAAGCGTGATTCAAGTAAGACATCAGGGCACAACAAAGAAAAATTCCACCGATGGCACTTGTTAAAATCGTCATGATTCACCACAAACTGGTTTTGTAACATCCAAGGATTTCAACAATTCTTCGCTCCTTCCAACACAACTAGATTCATAACAAAGATACGGTTTTATTTGCAATCAGCATTGTATTCTTTCTTTTGACGATATTTTTACATGTTATGATTTTCTTGTTCACTAAACTATTAGCATATTTGCATCAACGTCATCTTTACCTTTTGCTTTCAAGGTGAAGTTTGAAGTATTTCTGAAAATTTCACTGACAAGCGAACTTTTTTCTCCTAAAGAAGTAGAGTAAAGTCTTGCGGGCGTGATAAAAAAGTTTGCAGATTATGCTTGTAAAAGATCGCCGCTTGTTACGGCCGAGCCAGTGAAATGCTCTGATTCCGTGTTTATTTTAAGAACGAAGAGAGTATGGTATGTCATGTGTTAGTTACATGCAGGAATCAGTCACTGATGGGATAGAAAGAATTTTCTTTTTTTAATCAAATTGATTGTCATTTGTAATTTGGTAGTTCGACAGTGTTTGAGTAAAGACAATGATGATTCCTTTTCTCTCAGCTACGAGTTATTAATGGACCGAAAATAGTTGTAGCTAGTTGTTTTGCACTTTGCATATTTTTGATTTGGCTTGTTATGACCCTAAGACGTCAGCTGACCTTTCCGTATTAAATTCGTGGTTGTGTGGGTCTTTCCATTAAATCTTTACTTAACTACCGTTATAAGATTATTAGCACTTGTGATATTTGATTATTAGTATGAAAACAATAATGATATAACTAACTCGGCGGTGAGCATGCTCCACCGGCTGAGAAACTGCAAAATAGCGACAACAGTTTTTCCAAATTGACTGCCTTTCGGCTGGAAGCACGAGTCTTCAAAGACTTGTTATCGAACCTCAGTCTTCGTTGTTTCATAATCATCATAAGTAATATTCATATAGAAGGTACTGCTTTTAATCATGCATCGTGCCAATGTTGAGTGTGCGTAGTTCATAAATGAAACTTTTAGAACACCGGATTCACTTTTGAAAACAGGGTCACGCTCGACACGCTAACCTACCAGGTTTGCAACACGGAATCACTATGCACCTCTCTTTCCATTGTATTTTCCAGTTTAGGAAAATAGTACAGGGAAGATAGTCGATTTTTGTGATTACGAGCCTGAGACAAAACCGGGGAACGTCTTTGTTTAACATTATGTTATTATAAGCTGGATAACATCATAGTACCGGAATGATCGGTGTGTATCGGGGCTACGGGACAACCAATTCATCTCAATCTGTTTCGAAAAAGGTGCTGCCTGAAACGAGGCTTAAAGAGAACCAGTCTCGCTTGCAGTCATACGAACATTGACTGGTCAAAGTAGAGGCCTACCCCATGGATGCAACGATTTCGAGGAAATACAAGGAAAACAGACAAACGTACTCAATATCTGCTTTAGTTTTTATTATCATTTCTTCATTCAATCCATATTTTAACAGTTAACTAAAAGTTTTGCACCAATCTTACGGTGTATTTATTCGCTTTAATGGCATACCTAATTACGATGGGCAGCGCAATAGAAAGGCACGAACGATTTTTTTTTTTTCGGAATAAAACTCGAATTTACAAAATTTAACGAAATGTTGACACTATTGCATTTATAACAAAACGATTTTACTTGTTAAACTATTGTTGCTTTAAGCGTCATGTAATCAAAATTCAGTACATTTTTCCGTTATCCGTTTAGATAAAAAAATAGCAAATAGCAGCTGTAAATATCTAATCATTAAAGTTCCTTAACGTTCCGCGAAAAGCTAATTATCATCTCCAACGGAAAAAAACAATTGCCATTCAGTCTCTTTCTATTCAAAATGGAGTAAGAAAAAGTATATACATTAAGCATTTAGGATAAATGTTGGGGGGAGGGGAGGAGGGGGGGAAGAAACCAATCAATAGCAATGAATAATTCTTGAAATCCGAAAGCCAATAAGACACTTCTATGGCAACCAGCCCTTAAAGACACACAAAGAAACGCGATCGTTTCGCCCATCAGCCTCAATTTAAGGCCAAATTTCGTCATTCGTTTTGCACTTTAATGAAGATTGGCTTGTTTGAACACTAAATACGATCTTGGGACAAACATAGCCTAGCTAAAACATCTAATCTGAAAGAATTAGGGTTCAACGGGATTGCAAGTTTGACAACGACAACAGACTCTCAATACAGGGCATGCGCGAGGTTTAGAGGTTGTCGCGTTGTCAAAGTTACGCGGACGTGAAGACTTTAGTCCCGGAACCTACCCCTGAACTTTCCTCGCAGCCTACGTTGGGATATGCAGGCGCACCTATGTAACCATTTCCACAAGTGTTGTCTTTGCTCTCTTTCGCCATAGAGTTAACTGGAAATAATTTCAAGTCCAACACTGAATCTTCAAACAGGAAAACGAAAATGTATGACTTCGGTGAAATAAGTAACCAACTCTTTAAGATAATAATCATTCGTTACTTTAAAAAAAATGAAATAATCAACATGAACAATTTTTCAAATTTTTCTGTTCGAATTTTGGCTGACCAATCAGACACTGTCTTTAGCTGAACAAAGCCACCTAATTGTAACTATTACAAGGATTTTTTTTCGCATTATTTCTCCCTCTTATTTCCCTCGTATTATTCAAAAGCCAAATATCGAATTGAATCTTACATCGATACCAGCTTCCATTTGGATCAAAAAGTATGTTCCTATATTTGTCCACTAACATTATATTCTCCTCAAGCTCGAGGAAAACTATGAACTTTGTGAAACAGATAACGTCCAACCTAACGAACATGTTTTCATGCCAGATGGAGGCTACTGTGAGTATCATTCTTCAAATACTAACCGCGGTGCACGGAACAAGATGTTTACAAGTAGCTTACTGTTGAGAAACGTATTGACTTTTTAGAGCTAGTCTAGGAACAGTTCTAATATTTGATGGATCATAATATATATACTGATTATAATCATCACAAGTAAAAAAGGCATTTAATTATAGGCTCTCATCTGATTAATCTAAACATCGTTGATTAGAAGTATTCGCAGAAGCAAAACATTCATTCTTTCCAAAGAAATCGTTAAACCTATCGCGCGGAAATCATCGCGTGATGTACCTTTCTGTATTAACACCACATTGGATAAAATGACGAACTGGTAACGTATATATACATGTTTTATCGAATAACTGGCAGGGTTGTAGCTAAGAAATTACGCTGCCCGCTGAAATTGCAAGTGAGGCGGCTCAAAGGTGGTGAACGATTGTAAGTGTGTAACCTCGGAAGCGCCCGTTGTACTTTACCGAGCGATAGCAGGCCAAAATCCAGCCGGCAAATTTCGCTGGTAGCCGGCGCTTAGCGGCAACCCTGAACTGGGATGAAGAAGTCCATTTCTTACTACCACTGCATTGTCAAACTTGTGTATGTGGATAAGAAGTCCTTGCAGTGATTTCTCCTTGTTCTTCTCTTTCTCTAACGTATACTCCAGAATTCACGTCTCTTCGAGCAATACTACTCTTGGGAGAGATATTTCCCTCTCGCACCGTGACAGTTTCTAGTGGGGAGGAGTCCCTTGGGGGGACATTCTCACTTGGGAGTAAGGACCTTAACCGGGCTATTTCACAGCGGGCTTCATACAAGTGGAAGGTTTGCTGAGTGGCTTTGTCTTTGATGGAACGAATTTCACGCTGCAACAACTAAATCCAAATGGAAAAAAAAGTTTTGGTACTCCAGCGAAGCAAAATGGTACACTCTACACTTAAATAAAGACTCGAAGAATCTTGTTCGAGAAATTAAAATTACAACAAAAATGTAGAAGACGTATAGTCTACAAATTATTTCGACTTTCATGGGAAAAAAAAAAACACTTACCACATTCTGCCGAGCTAGGTCAAGCTTTTCACATTTCAGTTTTGTAATCTCGGTTTTAAGCATCTCCGTTTGTCTAAAGACAGTATCTATTAAGTAAATCAGAACACTGGACTCAGGTGAATATCGTAGGAAAGATAATATTGAATTTTCTTAATGAAGTAAAAGATCTAGAAATGAAAATATTTTAATGGTATACGTTTTAGTTAAATCATTGTTTTTTTTCTGAAGCATCCTTGGTCTTCAGCAGGAACTCAAGACCCAGGGCACAGTTTCTATCCCATACGGACCTTCCACCCGGCAAATAACACATATTCACCACGTGCACCGAGTAAACAACGTACCATTGACGGACAAATCCTCAGATGAAGTGAAGGTTTCAGTGTCCAATTTGGGTAGCGATGGAGATCTTTCCTGCATCACCTAAAGAAAACATCACAGAAAGAAAGAAAATTTGAACAAGCAAGCATGGGTGGACTGAAGTAAGCATGGGTGGACCGAAGTAAGCATGGGTGGACCGAAGTAAGCATGGTTGTATAAAATCATTCGCCTACAGTGGAATGAGCGTTTGCCTTGTAACATAAACAGACTGGGACGTACTGTGGTTGAAATAGTACAGGAAGGAATAAGTATTCGCAGCCTTGAAACCTGACTAACCTGTTCAATTCTCTCTGATTCCGGGTCAGTGGGATCAAACATGAGCACTCCAGGCGGAACCGAGCGAGGCCGGGAATCTGACATATCCAGCAAGGGCGAGACGATGGCTGTTTTCTTCTGCTTTTGCGCAGAGCCTGGAACGGTGCCAGCCGCCGGTGTGCTTACGGTATTGTGTTGGATGTCAGATGCTTTCCTCCGCAGATATGGAGAGCTCGACGGTGATCGACTAAAATTCAATGGAACGTCACGTTCAACCCTTCCTTCTCGAGACTGGTGGAAAGATTGTATGGATGCAGTGGTGTTTTCGGAAACATTTGAACTTGACCGCTGATGACTAACGTCCACGTTATCGTGGTCTTCGGGGCCCCTTCGGTGACGCGACGGAGACCGATTATAAGTAGTGAGTTGTATTGGCTCATCCTGATCATCTTCGGGCCCCGAACGATATCCACCAACATACCGAACTTGATATTCCCCTGCGGTCGAACTTCCCTCGTAAGACACTCGTGAATGCGGCGATTTGTCGGTTACTTTGGACGAAGTCCTGTGTAAACGATCGTAATTTTGCAGAGCAGGAACAGATTGAGAATGCGTCATGTTTGGGGGGAAATTTGGTGATAGTTGTGGTGAGCTGTTATAGTCCGGCGTACTTTTTCGTCCCTGTGGTTCAGGTGTTCGGGATCGAGCGTTATGTTTCCTTGGAGAATGTGCTGGTTCTTCAAGATGTCGAGACATTTCAGATGTGTTCGATTCTGAACTGGAATCGTCCGCGCAAAATATGGGATTGTTCTTGTTCTGTTCCTGGACGAGAAGCGATTCCATGCTTTTACACCGACCATGATTAACTTCTCTGGGAGAAAATACAGAAAGAAACGTCAACTTATGTAGAAACTTAACACGCCTATTAAAGAAAATCGAATTAACTAACAGGCCGAATGATTAAAAATCAACACGTATAACTGTAACGAAAGGACCAAAACAGCTTCCAGCCCCGCATCAAGAATATTCGATTCTTTACTGAAAATTTTGTATAGAATAGTTTTGGAGATCTGACCCTATAGAATTCCTCATCTACCCACAGTGAATTGTTATGAATACAAAAAGATTTTCGAACAACGTCACGGCGGCATGTTTGAGTATCAAAACAATAAAATGGTGCCAGCTGTTCATGTGCCAAGAGTAGGATCTGACATCTTTTCCCATTTTAACACTTTCTTTTGTTCCAATAAGTCTGTAAAGATGTCAACTACGTGAACGAAAGCGATTTAGAGCTGATTACTTGCTTACTTAGCAGCAAAAGCGATTTAGAGCTGATTACTTGCTTACTTAGCAGCAAAAGCGATTTAGAGCTGATTACTTGCTTACTTAGCAGCAAAAGTATGTCAGGAGAGTATTACTCTTATGGTTTAAAGTCCCTAGAATTTGGCCTCTATAATTTGTTTTCTACCAACAAAAATAATAATAATAACAACAATCGCTCACGTATTTCTACTTCTTGCTACAAGATCGCGTTTCTTAACTCACTTTTTTGGCGGTTTTAAAACTTTTTTAGCCGTCTGTAGACCTTGCGCTGATTTCCTTCTTTCTTTAGCCTGGATGAGGGAAGAACAAAATGTATTGGTAACAAGTCCATAACAACTAGAAGGCTTGAAGTTTTTCCACTGTTCCGCAACAACACGGGACTTCTGGTCCATACCAATGAGTCGAAAGAGCGCGATTAGAAAAATAGAGGAGCAAAACGGAAAAAAAAAAAAAGAAAGATGCCTTTAGTTTCAGACCTTTTTTGCCCAGGATTTTGGTGCATTGTCGTCTGAGTCAACATCCTCTGGTTTTGGACGTGGCTCCCGCATGGACATGGTACGGGTCACTTGACTCTTTGTACGTAATGCTTTCTTCAGGGTTGTTAATAGCTTAGCCTTTTGAGGAGCCTAGAGGATCAAGAACAAAGAAAACTTTGACTCTCATTTAGGAAATTGAACACCCAGTTCCTTCACAGCATTTTATATCATTTTTGCAACCACCGAAAATGAAAAAAGCTTCTCTCAAAAATGAAGGTCCGATTAGGCCTTACATTTCACCTTGTGTAAGAGTTCTGAAGTGTTCAGGTTTAGCCACCTCAAAACATCAATCCCTTATCCTCCAAACACAATTCCTTACCTGGGTTTGTTTCATCAAACTTGAGGCTTATTACCTCTTGTTTTTTTTTTCCTCGGAATTTTTCAAAAACATCTCAGTTATTTCGTGCAGTACAAGTCAATCGTATTTTTATTTTCCGGGCAAAATAGCAAGTATCGTGAGAGTCCAAACCAGCTTCATTAACCCGCGCTTGAAAAAGGTAAAACCACTACTACTCCAAAAGTTATCGACAGAAAAAGCAGACTTGCGACTTAAATCGTTGCTTGCAGTGTTACCTCCTCTCCGCCTGTGTCAAGTATCAGCGAGTTCTTCTCAATTAAATCATCTGCTAATCCTCGGAGAAGAGTGGTGCGCGTTCGATCCTGGCAAATAAAAACGCAAACAAATTAAGAAACTTAGCCGAAAATCTCTTCGTCCAAATATAGACAAATAAGAAGGCTCCCTGTATATTATCGCGTATCAAAATTCGACACTTACCGCTAACTTGGCGAACTCAGCACTGTTGTAAGCTGCCAGTTCAGCGTTAATGAGTTTTGTTAATAAAAATTTTCGAAATTCAGGACCCTGGAAACCAACACACATGAATAAATTTAGTACTAAAAAGAGGTATTTGAAAAACATTCTATAGTGGAATTTTTGATGAAATACATCTTCTGATATTAAGATGGAGTATCAGATACAAGTTTTTTTTTTAACTCAGATTTCGACCGAATAAAACTTTCACAATATTTCAATTAACGATACTGTTTTACACAAGAAAATCCTCGTGGACAAACCTTCTTGAAGACGGCAGGATTTGGAAGTTTGGGTCCGAAGTGCGGTACATCTTCACGAGCCGTAATGGAGACCTGGAGTGGTAACGGTGAAAAATGTTACAAAAATTGATTGGTCAGTCAGTAGCCAGGACAAGGACACCTTGCAATTGAATGTCGAACGACAAAAACCAAGGTAATCACAACGGCCAAACAAAAAAAGGGTTGGAAAAAACTAACGAGATCTCAGTTAAAAATTGGTGAAGTGCTTATGGCGAGGGAAAAGCGAGTGATCAAGTTCTGACTGGCCGACGTTTTGCACGTGATCGGTTGAGAGAGTTGCGCAAGTTTTCTGATTAAATCACAGAGAGTAAGCAAAACAAAACAAAACAAAACAAAAAAAACCATCCCGGATTACTTTGATTATTTGTTGAATTACTTGTACTTCACCTTGTATCTTGTGTTGCTCGTGTTCGGATCCACGACTTGAACAACTATGAAGACGTGTAGAAAATGCGACCGAATAGAAACTGGTGAAAATGGCGTGTTTTCCTCCTAAAAAGAAAATTACAACAAAGCTTGTAAAGTTTTTGAATTGACCAATCTTCGAACAATTACTGTAGTTTCACTATTTTACACATTCCATTCCAAGGTCACCGAGAAACCAACCGTAACTTGCGCTTACCTGGAACACTATAGCAACAATATCATTGCCAATATGCCTTTTTCTTTGAACCTTAAAAGTGAAAAAAAATTCGGCTTAACATACAGAGTGCATCTAATCAGTAGCTATAGTATATCCAACTGTTAGGTAGCCATCTTACATCAACTGGAGGTGGTCATTGGTTTCTATGGTTATAGGTTCTGGTCTCACTGATAACTAAAGGTAACAAACATATAAACAAGCTAACAAACAAAATACGTATTTAAGGTCGATTTGTTTGTTTGTTTTTTCATACCTGTTGACTATCTCCCATGGAAAATGGCAAAAGGGTGCTTATGTGAAACATGATCTCCCTAAAGAGTGAATAACAGAGTATAAATCATTTATCGCCCTTATACAAGAAAAAAGAGAAATTGACCGCAGAAATTGTGAATGAGGAGTACGTCTCTATAGAGCAAAATATGTCTAACTAAATTGGTTATGTATCAGAGGTTTGGCAAACAAGAGTATTATATAACATCAACTCGAGGTTTCCACATACAAAGAGAGGGTGATTGAAGTGCACAACGTTTGAATTACGTGATTCATACCAACCTCGTTCCCAGGGTCTCTCGTGCAGGAAAAAAATGGAGGTATGAGTTACAGTATTCATGAGTCGTACCAATATTCAAATTTCTTACTTGGAATCAAACACAGTATGTACCGATGTTTCCCCTGTCTGACCATGTTTCACATCCAAGCCTCCAGGAAACCTGGATAAAATGAAAACCAAATAGTGCATCTGTGAGTTTGACCTACCTAACAGAAATGGCTTTCAACGACACCATTCCAAAGAAGCATACATGTAGACAACATAAGCCGTTGAGTCTATGAACTTATAAGCATAACAGGCCAGTAGCATTATAAAGACAAAGGTCACTAGTAGGTCCAGGTAAAACTACTGTACAAAGAAGTAAAAAGTTATCTACCACGAACAGACAGTTGTGGAACATGTACAAAAATTCACCAATATTTAAAGTTGGAGTGTTCATTTGTTTTACAGCTTACCCTTTGAAATTTTTGAGGCTGACCTGACTGCCTAACATCTCCAAGAACTCATTCATAGCAGGACTGTGAGATCGATTGCAGAAATACTCTTCTTCAGTAGTCTGAAAATAACGGACAATGTAATCAACATCTTACCACAATATTTAGTCATCATGTAAAGAGACTGACAATGCGCTTAAGGTACAATGCATGTCTGTAGAAAGTGTAAGTTTATCTCTGTTATTGCTATATGCAGGTTACACTTTCTATACATTTTAACAAGACCCTCTCAAATAATTTTCTATTTCTATGTTAATTGTTACCTGTCCATATTTCTGGTATATAACTCCAAATTTGAAAGAGTTTGATAAGTTGTGTTCATCATACTTGACTATCAGTTCTGAGGCCTGAGAGTAAAACACATGAAAAGATTGTCACAACAAAGAAGAGGTAAAGGCAAAGCAAAAAATCAAAACTGCCACTGACAGCCTACCTCTGATCACAGTTAAATATCACTTTCTGTCATTCACATTATATTTGTCACAATCAAAACAAATTTCAAATCACTCATTTTCATATTCTTTATATCATAGTGTATTGCTGTAAGCAGTGGGGCACCATTGGTATTGTTTAAATGCTACCGTACCTTGGGATGAGCTAAGACTTGAAAGTGATCTATATTGTCTGCATCCTCTGCAAGAAGATACTGAAAGAAAAATCGATACATTCTTTTTACCACACCATTTAATATTCATTATCTAAATAGCCATTTTACAATAATTGCTGTTTATAATTGTCAAAAAATTTCCAAAAAAAAAGTATGAGAGTAAACCTCTTGTAGCACGATCTGCACAATGATAAGGATGGGAAACTAATGAATGCTTTCCTTCCATGTTTTGTGATCATCTACTCACCCTGATAATTTCTCTGGGTCCTGGATTTTCAGACACATTCTCTATTGGTAAAACGTCTGCAATGGTCTTTTCAGAAGTCCTGACAAAAATAGCCAATAGATGAAGAACATTAATTTACAAAGTACTATTCTACACTGATATTTTGTAACTTTGCACTTTCCCAGGAAATCTTTAAATCATAAGTGACAAAGGCAACATCAAATACATGGAAACATTCCTACACCTTACAATTAAAAATTCAAAACTTGGTCACACAGGTACAGGTAGAAGCATTTAATTTAAATAAAAGCTTCCTCGCAAACGACCTTTTGGGAAAGTGTCTTTGAGATCAAAATATGTATAGCATTTTAAAAAAACCACAACAAAAACCAACAACCAAAACAGTTTGAAAAGAGAGATGTACCTTAGAATGACTCGGATAAATCCTTGGGTATCACAGCCATCTAGTTTCTCAATTTCTTGCTTGACTGACAAGATAACAGGACCAAGTTTCTCATCATCACAGATGAAGTTCAGATGTTCCTAAAATGTCAATAAATGAAATACTGGAAATAAAGTAAATATATCTTGCAATCAAAGCCATTCCAGCATTAATACCTCAGCCTTTGAAAAACAAATTAAGTAAATTATACTTGTGTTAAGTGTGGATGAATGTGGATAACAACTTCAATTTTTTAATTGTAAATCTGTTTGCCTGTGTGTTTGAGACACTACATACAGTATAAGTAAATGATTGTCTCACACAAACATGGTGCAAGGAAGCATGGTACAAAGTACCTTTCCCATGAAGTCTCTCCTGTAGCTTTGAATGACATTATTCATCTCTATCCTGCAATCAGCAGCCCTGTAATCTGTGTGACTGATATGTCTGTGATTGCTTCCCTCCAACCAGTATTCACCTCCAACTGGTAAAACTACCAATGGATATGGTCCTCCAGCTGCCAAAACCTACAGAGCATGAATACAATAGGTGTTACAAACAAAGACAGTACATTTATATATAAAGTGCATTGCCTTAAAAGAGATGAGTGTAACAGTTCACTTAATTCAGCCTACCTTCTGAACAACCAGCCAACAAATAACACATTATCATACTGACAGCAAAGCTAAAATGTTTAAATATCATATACTGGCAGCTAAAACAAGCATCGTAAGCAAGTTGAACTTCTAATTTTGCAAAACCTAGTGTGTATATATAGATGTTTATGCACTTTCTATTGGTTCACCGACTGATAAACCACAGGGGAGAACACTAGAAAAGTTTTTAAACCATGAGGTGCAGCCCAACTTATTTCATATGGGGTAAAAAAATCCTGAACTCTTTAGTATTAATTTTTTTTACCACAATCCTCAACATGTTCTGCAAATATTTCCTGTCACAACTGCTATCCATAACATGCTACAATATTCCATTTGAGCAATGCCTATTATAAATAATTATGCACCTCTTTGACAGGATCTAAATCCTTCATTTTTGAGTCGTCCTCTTCGTCTTCGTCGTCTGCTTCCTCTTCTTCCTTTGAAGTATCACTCTAAACATTTTAAAAACAGAATGTTGCGTTTAAGACTGCTTACAAGATGAGTTTCATAAAAAAGTGAAAAAATAAGGGGTCAATCCACCCACAGGGTAGTAAGTAATGGAGCAAATAGCCATTTGCCATCCTGTCTATATGTACATATGGCTGTCTTTTATCAACCCCAAGAATCCAAGGTGACGTAACAAAGTATATAATAGAAAACAAACATTTAATTTCAATGAACTACTGCAGACATGTTGAAGTTTAAAATTTTTCACTTTGAAATGATTTCAAACTAGTATGATATGTATCTTCCTTTGTTTAAGGACATCAGTAATAATATAAATGTAATGACCACAGAATGAAGGGAAAAAATCTTCTTGGGACAGAAAATATGCACTATGACAGTGAACAAATCACACATTGAAACAAGGATGTTTAACTAACCTCTTCAGTTTCCTGGTGATTGACTTTCCCTAGATTAGCTGAAGGTAGTAAAAATGGAGGGTTTCTCCTTGGAGGAAATTCAACTCGCTGGTCGTCAATACGATTTGCCTTTAAAGTTATGAAGGAAAAAATGGCCCATGTCAACAAAGGGAGTGTTTGATGAATCAGTGTAACTAGAAGTGGAACAATCCATTTTCCAAATGTGACTTAAACAGTTGTTGATAATATTTATACAATGAAGTACTTAGATAACCTTGAGTACTAACACTTCTCCTTGTCTTTTACCTTCATTACATGCATCAGCAAGTAAAACATTTGGGGCAGAAATATCAGCTAGGATTAACTGTACTCTTTACACACATATTCATCACAACTCACCGAAGCTATTATTAATTCACACAAAATCTCATGTTCTTTCTGTGGATTGAAGAATGAAAAACATTTATGCCTGCCATAAAGGTACAGCTAATTTCTGACTGATGATAGAATTGACAGCAGTAACTAGTGTAACTAAAAACAGAGATCTAACTATGTGAACATGGATAACCAACAACTGTGCTCTACACTATTGCAGAGCATCCCTGCTCTTTAAAACTTCATTGACTTCTAACCTCTTCATGATCTGCAAAAACTGTGTGCTCTTGAAATTTACTATTATTACTGCAGCTGCTATTTATAGTAACAGAGAATACTTAACAATTATTCTCTGAGGTGGAGGTATATATCTACCATTTTCATGGACATGTCGAAGTCAATAATAGACTTAATTTCTACCACTAAAACTGAATACTGCGCAACAAAAACATTAAATCAGTTTCAGATGAGTGCCTTTTGTACTCTGGATGAAAAAAAAAAAAAAAAACTCAACTCAAATGATTGTGCTGTATGAGAACATTAACATCATTAACAACAACCACTAAAATAAAAAGGGTAATGGATCTTTCGGCAGTGCCTTGAACATGTATCATAATTCCTTTAAACTTTATTGGTAAATCATTCACACATCAATTGCATGTAATTAGTTCTGTGCTTTGCTTTGCTGTGGTATTATGAGGTTCATCAGACACATTCACATTTACATCTAGGTCTTAGGCACTAATCAGTTCCAATGCCTGGATTGTTCACATTAATCTTACTTTCATTTCTTTACATAAAAGAAACACATGTTGTAAAGTGGAGATACTTCATCTCATCTTATTTTTCCTGATATAGTTTTCTCATATGTCATTGCAAGTTTGCCATATCATAACACTCAAGTTTACCTTCCACAGTTTTAGAAACAATGCAGTATGATCACAATTTTGGAAAACTGCTGATTGCATAAATGCAAATTTACAGGTTTAACACTACAAGAGAAGGATAATCTAAATATATAGCAAGTATTAAAAGATTGTGTTCCATTCAAAAGCAATGGAATAGGAGCTAATAAACCCATGAAACATGTAGTAGTAAACCTTTATTTAACTAGGGTAATCCCTTCAGAATACTTAAATGTATATCTGTTATCAATAGGAGCCCTAAATTAAAAACTAACAAAAAATTTTAAAAATAAATAATAAGAAACTAAGTAACTAAGATAAAATAGTACAGTATAACAATTAAAATGTGGATATATTTGTCCAAGCTCTTTACTTGTATCTTCCCATTTGTTTCAGTTAAGAACATACCATTTCCATTCCAGGCTCAATGAGAGGCATAATCCCCAGGTAGGACTACGTGCCGCACCACAAACAACTGTTGCTTGTCTATATCTCATAGCCTTGCCCTATGAAAACAAAACAAGTTTTAATTAAAAAAAAAAAGGTCCAACACATACACACAAAGTCATTATAATGCACAATGACAAAACTTGTCCTAGCCATACAATATAACTCCACAGAAAACTGCCTACAAAAACAAATAAAAAAAGGCAACCACTGCTTACGTAATGTTGGTCATGCTTGAGGTAAAAGAGTCATAATCATGCATGTATAGTTTACACGATTGACAAGGAATCACTTAGGACAGACAAAACAGTCAATATTGCGAGCTACTGGTAAACATGTTATGACTGATGCAAGAGGCAACTAAGTGTTTTGAAAGACAAAGCCAAAATCGAAGTTTTCGTTGAGGAAGATCCCTTTGATGGTGTGTTAAAAGCTTTTTTTCAAGCCAGTTTGTTACCTGACCAACTTATTAGGAGCAACAGAGATTTCTTGCCATCCCATAATCAATATCAGAACCCACAGTTAGTAGTCCGTCAGAACTCTATTATATCATGATTACATCAGCATGCAACATTAAGACAGCATCGGCGCTGAAAATAACTACAAACTTACATTATCAGTAAGTCTTAACACTGCTATTTTTGAAAAAGAATTATAAGGTTACCTGTCTAGAGCATTTCTGTGTATTGAATAATTATCAACTTAATTCAGAACTTAAGGCAGAAAATGGAGCTACGTGACTGCCTTTAAAAGCACACACAACCCACAATTCCTCTATTCGCTCCGACAAAGGGCTAATGCTTGATACGTCCGCTTTTATAATCGTAACGGTGGCCAATTTACCATTTCAACTTTGTTGATATATTGAAATTATTCCTCCCTAAATAGACATATTGTAAACTCTTTCAACTCTCTACATGCACTGTAAAAGAAGAGAATAACTTTGAACCCTCTAAAGTGCCTTTGAATGTCTACAGCTTCTTCAATCTTTTTTTTTTAACAGGTAATAATAAATCTTGAACAAGATACTTGTAGGAACCTTCAGAGAAACAATGTCTTTTAAAATGGAGATGTTACAGTTTTCCACTCACTGCTCATTTATGAAAAGAGGATAAGGAAAAAGAAACTTTCTCCACCTCTCTACTGCTCACCAAAGCCATCAGTACTTTATCTTGTGATTTTAATTTATCACTGGATGAAAGTGTTTGCCACAGAGATGGGAGTGTGAAATTGTGTGCATTCAAAAACTAAAACAAATCTTAGATGCAGAACAACTAACAATGAATGTATTTAATAAGGAGATAGCATGTCAATGGATCATCAGGAAAAATTTTCTGACATTGCAGGATGTAACTTTTGCAAAACACAAAATAATAATAAGATCTGTCACCACACAGCTGCATTCAATTACCTAATTGTTACTGGATCATTGAATTTAAGCTTACAGACTCGCTAGTTACACTATTTATTTCACTTTCTTTGATGAAAATCTTGAGATAATCTCACTTAAATCTAATACTGCAAGTCAAATTAATCAGAAAGATGATCAACCTGTAAACAAAGCCAATGCAAATTTGCACTTAAAAAAGTTAAATGCTCTTAATTGTTTCTGTAAGTCAAATTAAATTCATGATTTTCCCAAAGGGAAACCTAAACAAAAACATCAAAGTTTGGCTAACAATGACAGGACTACAATTATTATTAAACAAAAGTGAAATCACATTGAGTATTCTGAGAAGATTACAGGTTATCAGTCTGTGCACAACGCTTAAGACACCTAAGAAAGGTGTAGCAGAGCCATAGACCTCAGGGCAAACGCCAAACCATGAATTCCTCGGCAGAATGTGCAAATCGCCGAACAAAGAGTCTATTGTACTAAGAAATAGATGTAATTAAGCTCTTTCCTGCTCCTTGCGAAGGGAATTAAGTTGAATACTGAAAACATCATAGCTAATTTCATAAAATTTTGACAGTCGATGAATGAGCTGAATTCAAGACATTAAGCCGGTAAATTTGGTAGATTTTCGAACACACAATGCCGTCAGTTTGAAAATGCCTCTTTCGCCAAGAACAATCGGTTCAAATCTGATATATGCCAAGAAAGTTTAGAGTAACTCCAGAGAGTTGCTTAGTTGATAAAATACTTAACTTCACTTTCTTTAAGGGAGCAAGAGTTAGAAATGTTGTGTTTGAAAACATTCCTGCTCACTTCTCTAAAGTTAAACAAACTAATAGCTGTAATCAGAACGCAAACTATAAGCGTAAATTTAACAGATAAACATGACAAACTCTCTCTCACTCACCGTAAATTCGGGCAAGAGTCCGTATAGAATAATTTCAAAGATGAAGCTTCCCGTAAAAACTTTAGGCCTTAAAAGATGCCGCGTAACACCTCGAATAAAGGTCACGAAATTTCCTTTCGGCAAATATATAACTATGATGTTGCCGCGCCGCTCGCATGCATTAGTGCTCACCGCAAATTTGTTACACAAATATTTATCTGCCAATCAACATGGAAACAATGAAATGACATAAAATGTCTACTCAAGTACGAAAAAGCACTCGAGGAAAGCAGCGCTAGCCGTCAACCTAAGATTGGTCTTACTTGGTGAATTTTGAAGTTTTAACGACTGAATCTCAGGCAATATCGTAAATTACTTTATACCCCGAAGCGAAAGAAACGAAATTACTCCTTCTGAAGTCGTTAGTGATTTCTTTGTCTTCAATATATTTAAAGTAAGCTACATGTAAACTCTAGCAGCAACACGAAACAAAAGGAATCCACAATATTGACGGACAGACTACCCTGGCCTGAATGATGCCATGGATGGCGCTACGAAATGATCATCAAATGAACTACGCGCAAAGATGTAATAGATGGCAAATTGCTTTCTTATTTAACAAAATTACATACCTTAAGTGTAATCAAGCTGAAAAGGGATATAAAAAGAAACAAAAGCCCGTCAAAAGCACGGCAAATGGAAGCAAAGTAGCGATGGACTTCGATACGATTTTTTCTTGACGAGGATTCTTCTATAAATAGCCACTGACCTGTATTGATAAGGCACTGCGGGAACTTATAGGTCGGGGACTGGCCCTAATCAATTCGATTTGAAATGCGCAACCATGGAATTTCATCAGTTGCTCTTCAGTTCTCTCCAAAAATCAAGTTTCGAAAGAAATTGGAGTATTACCAGTAAATTCCTTGAGTTTGTCGAAACAAGAAAACGTGATAAGGAAACGTGACTAGCACAGGGAGGGTTTCGTCGTTAGCAGCCCTATATCACATTATGATGGGTGTCACCAATGGAGACACTGTAAACATCAACTTTCTTTCTCATTAACACATAGCTTACTTTAATTAAGCCTTCCTACTTTTCCATAGTCAGTCTACCTTTGATAACAAAGATTTGAGAGGAAACTTTCAGAAATGGCTTGGTACAAACGGATGAAGTTTCTATGGAGTAGATTGTCACTGATAAAAACTTCGTTTTCTGGCATCGTGACCCATTGTCTAGTGACATTTTGAGAGTCAATATCTGCAATATCCGTGAGAAAACTCATTGCATGATGAAAAACTTCAAATTTCAATAACAAACCATGGCAAATATCACTCTAACGCCTCAGGTCAAAAGTAATTTTTAATGAAAATTACTGAAAGCGACTGAAGCGCTGTGTACTATCTCTACTATCTCCCAAAATGTTTTTAACAAAGAAATTCAGACCCTTGTCAGTTTATGACTATTATTAACGTTTTCAAATTATAACTCGTAAAATTTAATTTCATGGAACTTATTCTTTCTTGTCTTGCTAAGTGATTTTCATTTAAAAAAACGAAATACTATTTTTAGAATCTATATTCCTAAAATAGAAAATTTGCTTATTCTGAGCGCTTTTCATTTTGAGTGATCTGGCTCGTGGATTCAAATGGTCAAGCAAATTAATCAAAATTGGAATAAGTACTGACATATCAAACATTAAAACTTATTTACCACAAGCTATTTCACTTTAGTTTTTGGTCTACGTAGACACAGGCAAGCTGAGAACTGTTACGTTTCGACAAGTTACCTACATAGAACAACTCAACGTTAATGTCCATGATTATAATTATAGAGGTAATCCGTTGTATTTTTGACATTTCGATGACAAATCATGAACATGGCGAGTATGGTACAACGTTCTGGACTTCTCCAATAAAAACTGACAACAACGTCTTTGCTCTCAGTTTGATATAGTTTTAATAACCTTTGGGATAATGGTGAACATGTAAATTAATGCACACTTAAAATCACTTCCGTCTTAATCGGAATTGAACTCTCCATCGTGGTAAATACAGTTAACGCTAATTTAAAATCAGTAGATGACTTATTCGTTACTTTTAAGTTGACATAAAATGGGCGTGTGGAAGAACGTACAGTGTGGAAGAACGTACAGTGTGGAAGAACGTACAGTGTGGAAGAACGTACAGTGTGGAAGAACGTACAGTGTGGAAGAACTTACAGCGTGGAAGAACGTACAGCGTGGAAGAACGTACAGTGTGGAAGAACGTACAGTGAAGCTCCTNAATATCAAGTAACTATTATTATTAAATTCTTATGTCGTATGTCTTATTGTAGGTTCTTGCTCTTCTAATGTTAATCCTAGCTATTTGTGAGTATATGTGTATACCCATTTCTATCTATTTTATTTACCTGATTTTGATATTGAGGTATTTTGCTAAATTTTATTGTAAGACAATCCGCCCCGATTAGCGTTGCTACACGCGGGTTGTATTAATTTATAAAGCTGTTAAATTTGTTTGTTATAATAAATAAAGTGTGTGTGTACGTATGATGGACGATCCTCGCAGTAGATAGCGCCAATAGCGAAAATCAGACCTGAAAAAAATCAGGCCTGTACGGGATTCGAACCACTGACCTCTGCGATACTAGTGCAGCGCTCTACCAATTGAGCTAACAAGCCAACTGAGAGCAGGCCGTTAAGTTGATTCGTAATAAACCCGTGAAGTTGGCTTGTTAGCTCAATTGGTAGAGCGCTGCACTAGTATCGCTGAGGTCAGTGGTTCGAATCCCGTACAGGCCTGATTTTTTTCAGGTCTGATTTTCGCTATTGGCGCTATCTACTGCGAGGATCGTCCATCATACGTACACACACACTTTATTTATTATAACAAACAAATTTAACAGCTTTATAAATTAATACAACCCGCGTGTAGCAACGCTAATCGGGGCGGATTGTCTTACAATAAAATTTAGCAAAATACCTCAATATCAAAATCAGGTAAATAAAATAGATAGAAATGGGTATACACATATACTCACAAATAGCTAGGATTAACATTAGAAGAGCAAGAACCTACAATAAGACATACGACATAAGAATTTAATAATAATAGTTACTTGATATTAAGATAATTAGTAATTTTAAACACTAATGCAGAGACGTCTCTCTATTAACGATGTGAAATTTTCATTGGTCCATTTTACGACTGAACTTTATCTTCGTTTCGTCATTGTCATTTTGCAAAAAATGATCGAGATGAAGGGCAATAGACCGTGCTCATGAGTTCACGCTCTTTAGACTCTGGACACAACATATCTTGAGATATAAAAGTTCGGGTATGGCAAGCCGTTTGTAGCAAACTTTACCTCTCTCAGTACATGCTTAGTCAAGACTCTCGGTGTTGAAAATCAAAATATTGAATAGAACCAAACGATTGGATTGAATGCCTTTTTGTCTTTCAATGAAACCAATATTTTATGGATTAAACATATATTGCAAGGGTTATATTTTGCTGTTAACGGCTAGTAATACCTGGGGGGAGGGGGGAGGGGAGGGAGACAAGTAAGGCTCCAAAACAAGGCATGTGAGAGGGACAAAACCTTTAACGAGGGCCAAACAACGCTTCATTATTCACTTGAGAATCATCACCTTTATTTAATAAAGACCGTATAAAAAATGTTTATTTTTAGTCGAAAGCTCACAACATTTTAGACGGAACCACTACAGGATTTCAAACTCACGTACATTTCGTCATGAATTGAAACCGAATCCACATGTATGACAAATACCACCACATTACATTAATTACTCCAAAATTTTGGCACGAAAAGGAACGGGGAAGAGAAGGCTTGATAGAAACTTGACGTTCTCCATGGCGAACGTGGTATCATCTCAAATAAGTACTCAAGAACACTCTATGTCTTAGTATGATTGTAACACTAGAATGTCTCAACTAAAAGTAAATTTTGATTTGATCCCTTAATTTAAACTTTATTTTACAGAGAGTTTGGAATGATACCTCACGATTAAGCTTTACGAACCTTGCGAGAAAACGTCTGCTTAACACGAGAGAATGCTGCATGAAACCCTAAGAAAAATGCCGGATTAAGTTCTTCCTGAGATCGTAACGAAACTTTGAAAATTTCAAAATGCGCAAATGGCTTTGGGAAGAGACACCAGTTCTCGAGATCTCCACAACAAAAATCTATCAAAAACTCCTCCAACATTTCAGTGTCAAGTTTCGATCATTTCGTCGTAAATGTGGTCTATTGTTAAAAGGACTTTAAAACCCTTCAATATATTATACACTTAAATGTACTACGATTTGAAAAGTTCTCCGTTATTAAAAAAAGACAAAGTTCTCTGTTATTAAAAAAAGACAACCGGCGAAAAAACAAAAAACCAAACAAACAAATGCGTACACAAAAGAATATTGAGGATTTGAACAACTTGCCATCATGTTTTCAAAACTTAATATTTAAATCTAGAAATAACATTTATACGAGTCTGTACAATCATTCGTCATAAGCCACTCCCTGACCTTGCTGCTCTTTTTAATACAATACGGTCTGTGGTGTATTTGTATTTGTGTCAAGTAAAAATGCATTTCTAAGCTGTAATCGGAGAACAATCCATTTTGTTGGTGTCTATAATCGGTTTTTCGAGTGCAGTTGCGCTAATGATTGACCGCAAAATGAAAGGAAATCGCAAAATAATCTCTGAAACCCAGAGTTTGCCTGTTATTGACAGGTGCAGTAATAATATAAGTACAACAGCGCTTTACAATACTCTCTTATTGAGGGGTTAGACCATACAAGCGCAACTGACGACGAACGTTCTCTGTGTGCTGCCGTGAGATTTGGACCATAACAAGTATACTTGTCGTGCATTGTTCCCAAACAATGTTCTTAGTAGTTATAATATTTTCTGTTGACAGAGTTATTTCTTCTTTCTCTCTTGTGCACATTTTGGACAGTACCTGAAAGAAAAGAATAAATACAGCTCTGCTCAGGAGTATCTCTTCTAATCAAGTGTGAGAATCTACGTCACTTCAATTCATATCATAGGATGAAAACTTCGAAACAACGTGATCAACAAGCAAACTGCACTGAATTCTGCATAGAGGTTTCGAGACCTACTTACTAGAGAAATTTTTATATACACTGCGACTTTAGATTTTACTGAGAACCATTTGCACAAAGAGCAGGTTCTTCTGAGAGTAATTAAATTTCAGTTTGAAAGTATTCGGTCTCAACTGATATAAATCAAACTAAAGTCTAAAAATAAAAACTCAATTCTCTCCCTCTCGATATGAAGACAGAGCATTCAGAAGTGTTCTCTTTTCATTGAGAGATTGATATCTTTCAATTTAGGTTGCAATCATATCTCTCTCTCTCTCTACCAACCCACAGCAGTAGGATGAATTAGAGGCACATGCCACCCTCCCCCCCTCCCCCCCGATACACCAACAATTATAGAAGTTAAAGTAAAATTACAAATTTATAGAATTAAAAGCTAGCCGGGACTAACCATTTTCCTTTCGGCTTTGATGTCAGTCCTACACACGGGAAGTGAAACCATTCAATTGGGCACTAAAATAAAAATAGCAAGTTAACGTCTTCTTGCCTGTGCGCGTCCCTTACTGAAAAAAGGTAACATCATTACTGACAAATGATTATTATCTATGATGAAAAAAGATTTAAGTTCACTCTAAAGAAAAATATAGTTTGTGTTCTCAGAGAGAACCTCTCTAGAGAGTAGGTTAGTCAGTCTGCAGTTCCAATGTGTGTATCTCTCTAACTACTTTAAGTGTAAAGGACAGCAACTTGCAACCTAGAAAAATCAAGAAACCCGAACTGCCGTTTAAATGAACTGGCTGCACCTAACGAAACTGTAAACTTGTAATGGTTTGGTTTGACACCTCATTCTCTCAATATCCAGGTCCTTTAATGCACTTCAGTTAGCAAATGGTCTGGTAATGGGGAACAGTTTACATGAGAGATCTTTGAGGAAAAAATCAGACTCACTTCTTAAATTGGATCAAATGTAAAAAGAAAAAAAAAATTAAACTTAGGAGCACTTTCACTATACAATTAAGTCATTTTGATACTGAATCCTTGTTGATACATTAGAGACTTTAAGCTGTCAGGAAGGCAACGCCACGGAAAACGTCGATTAAATAATTAGTTTCTACTTTTAGTTAGAATTTCCAAAATGGCTGAACGTGTTTATCGTCTCATAGGGCGCCAGACCTCAAACTCAACATAACGCATAAAAGTAGCGTTGAGTTACAAATGTAAATTAAAATAATTTGCCGCCGCGGTTTCGCTTCGCAGACGACGCAAATTTTGGTGATTTCACGTTGCTGTTTTACAAACGGCGGCTAAGAAATGTACAAAGTTTTAAAACGCACGTGCTGGGCTATTGTTCTGCCAATTAGATCTATTGTTTTTCCACGTTCTCGTTACCGTAGCCGTCGTGGTTTGCTTAAAGTCCCTATCAACTTTGTTAACACTTGATGATGCCTTTAGTTGTTACAAAGATAAAGTCTTGCTATGGGGGAACGACAACTTTTCTCCACTTACATAACTCCTAAATGAATTGACCTAACAGTAATGATTGATGATCGCTGGATAGCTGTGTTATGCCTACCTCCGTGTTATCACACCCTATCATTTCACCGTATGAAACCTTCGTAATAAAAACCAAAGGAATGCAATGTTAATAACAAGCCTCAAAAAGAGCACAATGAAATCATTATTTGTATTATAGTGTCAATAGAAACAAAGAAACTTTCTTGCAGGGAAAAAGATCTCTTTGGATCTTTGTATTTTTGTTCAGCCTTCATTCGGTCACTATGGCCCTAAGGTATGTTGTTGTGCAGGTGTGGTCAAAAATCTGACAAGGAATTGGGGATTCCACTATCCAGTTGGTCAAGAAAAGTGCAGGGGAATTATTTGTGTTGACACAAATAACCCTCCACAGAAGTAGCATTCATGAATAGTTCTGAAGGATGATTATTGGGCCATAAATTTGGAAACATTGGTTCTTGTAAGTAGGCAGGACAGTATTGGGCAAGAGAACTGCATAATATTATGTCACTCAAATACAATATCTACTTGAAAATGAATAGCATTTTCTTTCTATTTCATAGTGTGTCAAGGTGCTAATCTACGTCACTTGAATTCATTTTGTGTTTCCCAAAGGCCTTAGTTTTTGATATCTTAGAAACCAAGGCATAATAGAAACCATTTGATATATGTATTTGAAATGTTTTCTTGGATGTACAACAAAGCATGTACTGGTACCTTTCTCTATTTGTGTATTATCTTTTTTAAAAGTAACAAACAAAAATATTACTTGCATGTACATCAATAGATAAAATAAACATGGTAGGACCATGCAAAAGCAGTTTATCAACCTATAAAAACTTCTGGTACCTTTGCCAAGCTCCTTACCTGATGACATAGACAGTATGTTGGCTCATTAGGGTCAACTGGCATATCAAGTACTTGTACCTCAGGTGCCAAAATAGACACAGCAACTGCAAGTGACTTGGGACCTTCAGATTCAACTCTAAAACAAGCCACAATAGAATTGTTAGGATTAAAAATACAACATTGTTGGGTTCCATATCAATAACATCAGCATGTTCCAAGAAATACTTATAGGTACAAATTTCTGCAAAATTATTAAAACTTGATGTGTGATGTTCGTAGTTTCAATTATAGTAGAAAAATATTGTTGTGCTCCTTTTCTACTTTTTGCCTATTTCATTATGGTTCTTTTATAAAATGATCCATCTTTTGGTGTTTTCATCGTTCAGAAACAGAAAACCTGTTTTTTATACCATATTCAAGACTAAAGATAAAGGCAACCTCAAAACTAGACGTTCAATTTCAAGGTTTTGCAAGAGTGAGGTGTTGTCTATCACTTTCGAGCAAAACAAAAATTTGTTTACATAGTAATGAAACTGGGGAAATCCTTGAATGAAGCTACTTCAAACCCAATTTATAACTTTAACACATACTTTTTCTTTTTCCTTGCAGACTCAGAAGTGTCTTGTTTCTTCCTTCCTCCTCCTCTACTCCTTCCACCTATACCAAAATGAAAAATTATAAACATCTCAGTATGTCACTAATATATAGATTTAACCAAGCCTAAAAGCGGAGCTCCCAAGTTCGTAATATTAATGATAACATAAAAGTTGAGCATTTGCCAAGACTTACCTGAGACACCCCTCCCTTTGTTTTGATAGTCTCCCCTACCCTACCCATGCAATCTGAAGGTATGTATGTATGTACATATGTACACTCGGTCATTCATGCAACAACCAAACAAAATGAGGTTGACCATGTTTCATGGGTATGGGGCTCTGCCCCACGCGTGCTTTTCATGCGTGGGAGCCACGCTAAAACGTACACCAGAGAGAATTGTGCATAATATTTTGGCAAAGAAATTGTCATCGCTAGAGTACAAGTAAATAGGTTTATCATCTTTCTTTGACTACATGTAAATTTCAGCTTGAGTACTTAGTTCAAGATGATGGAAATGACATGAAACTCACAAATGGGCATTACAAAGCATTTAGTAAGAGCAATCATTAAGATGAAAATTAGTGGTGTTGCTAGAAAGCATGTGTACATCATCAGCTGAAATTCAAACCTAAGATTTGTTTGAATTACATTATAACATGCGTATGCCTCTTAAGTGTTATTTTCAGTGCTTTTTCTTCCCAGTCTACACCCTGATAGTTACCCTTAAAGTGCCCCTGAGATCAAAATTTTCGTACATCATTTTTTTTCATTTTCGCGTTCAGTGTGTCTCCTTCAACTACTCTGCCAAATTTCAGTTTAGACCGAGCACCAGAAATATCTTTTTTTGGGCCGTTAAATTCATGATTTCGCATCTGCCATTATTTGATCATGTTCTGGAAGTTGATCGCAGGACTCTTGAGGAAGTGATGTCAAAGGCTCAACACAAAAATCTCACATGGCAAAATGTCAAGCAAACATAACAGAGTGCTTTACTCTATTCTTACAAAAACTAAATAAAAATGACTGGGCATCGATGCGTAATTCAACGCTGAAGTAATCATGCAGACCATGCTGCAGGTATTTCTCCGCATCGGAGCCTTGCAAATAGATCAGAGCGGGAAAAACGGATGCGATTTGTGTGACCTCGCAGAGTAAACTTCAATCCTACAAAAATATTTGTGATCTACTCCGAACACTGTTTCGTTGAGAAAAGTATATAATTAGATATGAGTCATAATTGATTGATTAATTTCCCGTTTCATTAAGTTCATGATACACTTGGGATTAGTAACTTCATAAGATCGCGCAACGTGTTAAAAGTTCATTTTAGAAGGAATCGTTCCGTGCTAAATTGTTCTCTCGCTGACCGGCGTTTCATATGATTTTGCCAACCAGATACCCAATTGAACTGTCCCCCCCTGTTTAAGAGTGGTTAGGAATAATCTGCTGGATATCGTCACAGAAGTAAGTGGTCAATGATATGCGATAAATCACTGTAGTTTGCTTATGTTGTATTTTGCCCTGTAGTTTTCCCTATCTAATATTATGCAACGTTTTCCTTAATAGATCGAATAAAACCAGAAATCATTTATACGGTTTGCGTAATGAGATCATTGACCAAATGCATCGGGCAAAACACATTGATGGCTTAGAAATAGCTTTCACAAACTCCCAATATCCGCCTTCGGATACACAATTAGCCACTGCCGAAAACTATTTTTACTAATCACCCGATCATTTCTTACAAAAAAGGAAAATCCCTTACTACAAGCACAAATACAGTTCGAAGGTGATAACGCAATGCGACCACAAAAGCCACATGGGGAGTCCGTGCCGTTCTGTGTTTATCTTTATTCGCATGGCAAAAATTCATCGTTTGTTGGCGCAAAACTATCCACAGAAGCTTCAGATGATTTCTGGGACAATTCATCGTCTGACAAATTTAACATTTCCCGACTGGTAACGAAATAGTTCTCAAAAAAGTAATATGTGTGATTCTCTGTGCAGTGAAAAAAGAGAGTTGTGACAAAGCAAAGCATAAGTTTGTTGAACATGTTTTCAGCAATGGTGGACGATTTTTGGACAACTTTGAAGTGGTAAAAATTGGTCATCAAAGGTTTGTTTTGAGTTTGTAATGGGAAAAAGGGTCTTAACTTGACCCAATTCAACATTGTGTAAACAATTTAGGCCAAAATAAAATGGTCAATTTTTGCCTCAGGGGCACTTTAAGGGTGAAATTGGCTACCCTGACCTTCTATGGACGGACTCTATGGATGACTCACTATGGATGGACTTTGAGGCTAAGCCTAATGACAGGATTACATTACAGAAGAAGGGAAACCATGGGAGAAAATTGTTTTGCACAACACCTAAACCACCTTCAACAATACATAAATAACTTTTACCAACAAAATATTACCTGACTTGCTCTTGCGCTTTGGTGTTGGTGATTCACCTGCAGAATAAGTAAATCTGTTTAGAAGATGCCTTTGAAATTGAAGTATGCTCAAACTAACTTTTGAGCAGCCCTGATATAATTTCCTCCTCTTCACACCTGGTGCCACATATACAAATAAATACACTTTGAAAAAAATCTTTTTGCCTTCGCACTACTGGTAAAGGCTGCATAACACTAATTGTTTTGGACTCTTATCAAAAGCCCCGATGAAAGTAAAATAAAATTTCACAAAGTTAATGGTTCGGTAGCTTGTGTCTTGAGGTCAATGTCTCACTAGAGGTGTGGGCCCCCTGGAAAAGTTGATTGGATGATTGGCAGGAGCTGTTTGTCAAGCACTTTGTAGACTTAAAACTCTGCATCCATGATTCGCTCATTATCACCAGTAGTGTTGGCCCTCTCTTCAGAATTCCTCCACAAATATACTTTGACAGGATGCTTGGGTCTGCCAATCATCTTCAGCTGCTCCCACCATCAATGAAAGCTTACTTAACTACAAGTTTTGAGGTGAACCAAACACTTGTCCATGAGTATCATACCTCCTGGAACTCCAATTGTTTCAGTCTGTCAGGCTCACTAATTAGTTGAAAATACTTTGTGCCTGATTGCACCCACCCAAGCTTTCATCACAGGCGTCTGACCTTTGCTCTGAGAAATGAGCCCCGAAGTAAAGAAGGAACCTTCTTATGAACTTCTGCTATGTCAGTTCATTGTTACTTTCCACTTTGGGGTTGGTAAAATTCATGACCTTGGTTGTAACAACAATAGGATGTCCAGTCCTGGCTAAATTCTCTAATGACTACCTCCCTAGAAAATCTTCTTATTAAGAATCTGATGACACTCCAATGGCTTATCTCTATATCATCTTCAGCAAGGATTTTCTCAATTTCAGTGGGGCCATTTCTGTTTGAGTGAGGCCTAAGTACTTTTTTCTCATATCTCATGTCTTAGACAATCCGTGATTGTTTTACTGTCAAAATATTGTCAAATTCAATACCCTGGATAATGCAGATTGACACTGTCATCACTCTTTCCTTTCAATCAAAACAACTTTGGGGCAAGTAGAGAAAAGAGAATCCAGTGCAACGCAGTACAGTGCAACGCAGTACAGTGCAACGCAGTACAGTGCAACGCAGTACAGTGCAACGCAGTGCAGTATTAATTGAAGCTCCCCTAAAGGGGCTTTTCAGCCTCAATGTAGTAAGGTTGAGATCAGACATCAGCATTTTATCAGGTGCCTTCGGCAGCCGCTTCAGTCCATGTAGCGATCTCACCTTCCCACCCAGGGGAGGAAATCCATCACACAGTAATCTCGTGCGTGGGAAATTAACGTCTCCTACCCCAAACCCTGCAGGAGATGGTAGCTACGGCTTTACGTCGTATCCGAGAAGACAAAGCAATGTGAGTGAAGTGACTTGCTTGAGGCCACAACATAGTGCCCCAGCCAGGACTTGAACCCGGGCTGTCCGACCCAGAGTCCAGCGCTCTGACCACTGGACAACTCATGCTTCACTCTGTCCACCAAACTGAGACAACCCATTTTGACATAACGGTTTTTTCAATGCATGAGGGTTTGTGCACTAGTAGTAAGAGTTTGCAATGGAGGAATCTTTCATTTAACCTCACTGGAAAGCTTCAGACACATCGAAGTGGTTGACTTTTAATTGAGCCTGTCAATTACTTTGTGGAGTTTGATCTCCATTTCTCAATCTCTGATATACAATTTCTGGTACTGTTAACAGCCTTTTTTTTTTTTTTTTTTATAAAATCCAAGGGTATTTAGCCCTTAATATTTTCACTTTCTCTTTGGCAGATAAATATGCTGATTTTTCAAATAATTTTAACATTTTCAATGTTCATGCTTGTAATTGACTTCACAATTCTAGTTAACTTCAGGGAAGCTTGATCTGTAATCCTCACTTTCACGCATATTACTACAGGGACTGCTGCCCGACTAAATTGCACATGCAGATCTTGAATAAGAACTCTTATCATTGACATGTCCATTTCCACTCGTGCAATCCAATCCCATAGAAAACCATAAAGAAAGTTGACATGTGTGAGGGCCTGACAGGTTGATGCGAGCAGGTCTGGAAAAAGCACTCCGGCCCTGCTGTCCTCACGTCACTTTGTTACAGAAATGAGAAAAAAAGCCTTGCATTTTTCATGGAATTGGGATTTTCTCATTCTGAGTTGAAAAAGTAAAGGAAAAGTTGTAATTCACATTTTTTTCTGCTTGTTGGGCAGCATTCTTCATTTCTACTCTCAGAGCAAAAATTTTCAACTGCTCTGAGCTTCTTTCCAGCTTTTTCCACAACAAAATAAAGTTAGGCAACTTTTATCAAGTTGTATATCAGAGTCCAAATAACCAACTCACTTTCATAATCTGAGTAGCCTGCTTCCTTGGCATGTTGCTCCTTAAGATCCGATTCAAACCTTGCTAAGTCAGCATCCAGTTTGCGAATGTGTTTATCAACCTTATATTAAAAAAATATTACATTAGCATAATTATAAATCCAATTAATAGGAACTTTCAGTTTCTTGTTTTCATCTGGTTTGTATTTTATGAATTTTGAGTCAATAAAAACAACCATTAAATGTGTGCTTTGTCTTTATTTACAAATGTGCAAAGACCCATGCTGTGACACCATTGTGAAAATGGAGAGGTACTGGTTCGAGCAAACACTTTCTAGCATGTGCAGTAGATTAGCAGCAATGCATGGCGGGAAATTGCTTGACATCATGGCTGCTTGCCGCTGTTTTTCTAGTTATCCTTTATTTCAAAACTATTTATACTACTGTAGATAAATATTATGGTACTGACAATTTCAGGTCCATCATTTTCCCTGGAAGATAGATGTAACTGTATTCTTCCGAGTGAATGAATCAAAATAATAGATGGGACCAGTTAGATTCCTTCCAGGACTATACACTGATAATTTCCTACTACTTGTCCCAGGAAAACCTTTAATTTTCAAAAAGTTATAGTTTTGAGCACAGATATAATAGGGTATAAAACTTTACTGATTGCCATGAAAGTTGGTCTGAAGACTCCCAAGATACCAACCTAAAATCCCCAAGGCAAAATTTTGTTCTAAAAATGGATCTTCCACAATGGCCTTCAAGGTTAATCATATTGCTAAAATTTTGATCAGCAAACTTGACAAATAAATTGCAAAGCAAAAATAAAAATACCCCAAAATCCCCACAAGGTTTTGAAGATCCACCCCTCAGAATTAAAATTGTGCAGAAGTTTTATTTGTGAGGTAAGATTTATTATATGATTAATTTGCTCAAAGAAGTGTCATCCATGCTAATTTTTTTGAATAGTGCATTTCATAACCTTTCCACTGATATATAGTTTATAGTGGTTAGCCTTCAAATGGCACGATAAAATTTTTTTCTGCAGACACTCACAAAGGTCTACGATATCCTTGAGGCTAGTTAATTTTCTATAGAGGTGAGGAATGGGGACTTAAGTAGATAACAAGCAGTTGAATTTTACACATAACAGCTTCTTAATTTTCAGAGTAACAAACTTTTTCATCGAGCCTAAGCTGTACCTCACACTCCCAAACTAGATTACTTACAACATCTTGGTTATGGTAAGTAGATGTTATCAAATAATACTTTTCTGTGATATCACATTGCCTCCATTTCATAAATCACTTACCATTTCATATGTTTGCATAGCAAGCTGAACTTTATCATCCCCATATTCTCGACTTTTGACAAAAGCATTTTCAATTTTCTTCAAATGTAATGTCCTTTTTGCAGCATCCATACTACGCACATTTGCCATGTATTCTTCTGACATACTGTTGATCTCCTTTGAAAGGTCTTATATGAAAAAACAAAATGTTCAGTTTGTTAGCAACTCACTTTAAATAACCAGAATGGTGAACATTTATCAAGCTGCAACACTTCCAACAATCAAGTAAATTAATTACTGTTTTGATGTGAGCAAAAATGCATTGTATTACAAAAAATTCAGCAACATACTATTGAAAGTTAAACTGATGAACATCCCCCATGTGCAATGCTATTTCAAGGTTATCAATTTCCTATTTTCCTTCTTTTCTTTCTGAGGTAATATTTTTTCACTTTTAAGACCTCAACAGTTTCTGAAAACTTTGACTTTCCCCCTTACAATGCGGAACTGGAAAGATTGGACAGTCGGGCATTTCTGTGATCCACAAAAGTTTTGTTGCCATATTTCCATGTTTTTGTGACAGTCACTTTATTCATTGAAATAATTTCCTCTTAATTGTTATTTATATAAATCACCACACTTTGTTGAGCATGTGATTAAACAGACTTATTGTTCGTATTTGCCATCCCATGGGGATGGCGTGTTCCCAGAACACAATTTACAAGTACAATTTGCAGATTCTTCTATTAACTATACACAAAGATAAAGTAAAAAAAAAAAAGGGGAAGAGAACAGCAGAGTATAAGATAATACAGCAGAGAAAGTTACAAAGTTTTAAGAATTTAGATAGCTTTCAATAAAAGACATTTTTGTTCGATTAAAAAAACATTAGGGCATTTGTTTGTGATATGGGAAAACATTCTTTTAATAAAATGAAGAGGAATTCAAATGAGGGTTGGAGGTTTAAAAGTGTCATCAACAATTAACAGAAAAAATGCACATAATACAATCCTACTGGACAAATGTGGTTTGCAAGGATAAATGTGAATTATATATGCTGAAAATCCTACTATCAAATTGTCATGGTTATCAAGCTAAGCAGATCCACTGACCAAAATTTGTATGCAAAGACCTTAATGAGATTTTTATTACCAACAGTATCACTGCTTGATATCTAGATTGTAGTATAATTAAAACATTCAAAATGGACTAAGAAATATCCCTATAAGGTCAAGATTATTAGTACAGATTGTTTGAAATCTTGCAGCACAAAGATTTCCAAAGGGAGATAAGTTTGATAAGACCTTAACGAGATTTACACTAAGGATATCCTATGAAGATCTTTGAGGGATTTTCAAACAATAGCCCCATAGTACTATGACATAACACAGTCACATGGTCACTACAGCCAGACGGGACCAGCATGATACAAAACATGCAGTGGTGGCATCCATCCTTGCTCAGTTGTCCTTCCTCTCATCAAATTTGAAATACATGAAAACAATTATGTTATGGCCTCACCTAAGATGATTAATAGAAAAAACTGCTCAACTTCTCAACTATGGAAAAACATCTTTGACATCAAAGTGACCACAAAAGCCTCTTCCTTCCTTTAGCTGAATTTTTCGAATTTTCCTGACTTTTCTTTCTCTATATCAATTTTCCCTGAGTCAAAATAAAATGCCCTAACTTTTTCCTGACCTTGAAGATTTCCCTTTTAAGAAATTCTCTTCATTTCCTGAAATGTGGGTACCTTCTGATTTCCAAGCAATATATGCCATGGTTGAAATCACTCGGATGTGTTTTCGTGAACAGTCACATTTGTTTCGAAAAGGCAAACCATTGGAAAACTAATATTTTCTGGTAGACTATAAAAAGCGACAAGAGAAGCAACTGTTTCGTAATGTTTGTTTTGTGTGGATTGTGTTAGTCGCTTAAGTGGATTAATTTGTAAAGTAGATTTTCGGCCAGTGGGATGTACGTGTACCCAAGTTACCTTGTGTCCTTTGATCAAGTTCTCTCATAAGTGTGAAGTTCCTCTGAAGTTCAAATGGCAAATTTTCAATACCTAAGAGGCAAAGCAGTGTCGTCTGTCTATTAACATGTGTCATAACGAGCACTCGCAGGGAAAACCCTTTCCATTCTTAGATGTTTTCATCCGAGTGTGTTATGTTAACTTGATGATTTTCGCGCTCGTACATTTATTTAACGCGGAGAGAAATCACAGTTTAAAGGAAATGGGATCGATATCATAAAGAACATATTAACTTCAAGAAGTTAAGCTTCACTATTAAATTAACCTATACCCACATCCGACCATCACTTATTGTGGCTGTAAAGTTGTACGCAAGCCTAAAATAATTTAACATATAAGCTTAACTTTATTTCCACCCGATTTCCTTACAAAATCGACATTCCCAGACTTTTCTAGGTTTTGGAGTTACGAGAAAACTTGCCGGGACGAGCAAATCATTATATCGACGAGGCAACGATAGCTTTACCCATTTTTTCTTTTTCAAAATGCAAATGAGTGGGGATTCTGGCGGGATCGTCATAGTGAGGTGAAATCAAAAGCACTTACTATCAAGATAATGTTCCAAGTACATATTCGTCGCCATGGTCCTAATTCGTCCTTAGATTGTATTTTATCCAAACGTTATCTATATAAACAACACTGGAGCCTAATAATTGTAAAAAAAGGGTTTACAATTAGTAAGATGGTTCCAACTTCTGCAAAATTTCACCGACCGACATAACAGAGCACAGACTTATGGGATATATATCACGTGACATTTGGGTCCGCGCAACCAAAGATGAAGGATCTGGGAATTAAGAAACACTATCAGTTTCACAACTGCTGCTCTTTGCCCGTTCCTCGCACTCTACTACAATTTAGTTCCCTTAAAGCTTCAATGTCTTAAAATCGTATTGTTCATCGTCACTGCTATCTTCTGTGTTTAAATCAAATTTTAGGCCTGCGTGAAAGAAAACTTAATGGAGAAACTGTCATAAAAACGTACCCTATAAAAATAAAACCAAACAAATGTGAAGTACACAGCTGGCTATTTCATGGCAAACTGAGAAGCTAATATTTTAGCTAGTAGAGTTAGTCGTCCGGGCCTGATTACAAACTAGCCAAAGCTACGAGGTATTGAAATAAATTTAAAAAGAAGCGGCAGCAGTAGCATGGCGCGTGGTCCTTTGCGGTGAAATCGTCTTATCGATCAATCGTAATTAAAGGGAAGCTCCCTGTCCACTTCATTTGTTTATGGGCCGAGTCTTGATCGCAGAGATGCGAATTTCTAGAACTTTGAAGTCTAGAGATGTCTAATTTCAGATGATGTTCCCACCCCTCGGCGGTCTCTCGCAAAGCTAAGAACTGTCGCTAAACCCAAAGTATATTATGACAAATTCTAAAGAATACAGCCATCCTTCAACAAGAACTCTCTCCCCCCCCCCCC